AAGCGGTTAATGAGTAAATGAAACCCACGAGGCTTGGACTCAATGAGACTCTGATTGTTGGGGTGAAAATCTCTCTCTGAGGGTTGTAATTGAATAGAGATTCTGGGTCAGTGGTAATCTAGTTCTTCCTGGATATAACTGTCCCGCACAAGAGCACCCAGATTTCACTGCTTGGCTGCTACTTGTCAGTTATTTGAGGAAGAACACAATCACAGCTAAAGAAGGGAAAATAATAATAACAGTAATAATAATCCTTGTATTTGGTATAGCGCCATATATAACGCCGTTGAGGCGTCTCAAAGCGCTTCACAGGATATATTATCAAAGTGGATTAACTGTGTCATTTGTTGGTGAAACAATGTCACACTGTTGGTGTAAGGGACCCCTTTGCAGACAGTGCCTTTCAACGATCATTGTAATTGTCATCATAAAATCCAACAAGGAAAGACGTGTGTGTTTTTGCCAGGTGTGGATGTCATTGGGTTTAGAGAATATTTATGATTCTGCTGGTTGAACTTGCTCTCCCGCTGTGATGTCAACCTGTTTAAGATTTTGCTCTAATTTTCAGAGTTTTGTACTGTCCTCACTTGCAATGGCCTAGTAACAATTCTCACAAGGAGAATTCATATCCTCCGAGATTTTACAACCTGAGTTGTTGCTTATCAAAGAGGAACAGTTGCTCTCCATAACTGCTGTCCTTATTGGATTTGATGTGATAATGATACACCTAAACAGGTGGACCCAGGGACCACACGTAAATTAATATTAAAACTAAAATACTACATTTATTTACAAATGTAGTTATTTCGTCTGCAAGATACAGTCACCGCACTTTGCAGTGAGTCCTGTGAAGCACTTTGAGATGTCTTCTTGACATGATGGTGCCTGGGTGTCAACGCTTTCTAACCAAACAAAGAAACCACATTTCACCCACTTCCGGTGTCCCAGATTTACCATTGTCTGATCAGATTAAATTATAATACTTTGTTTTAAAAAAACAACTGACAGTTGATCCAGATGAGCAATGATCAGTCTCCTTGTTTGTAACAGATGCAAAATGCAGACATTGTGGAGGCATTGATTCTTCAAGCCATGAACCTCTCGAAGCACTCTTTTCCCCTCGCAGTAACGGAATAAAGAGTTCAGCACAGCTGAAGGTCTTCACTGTGTCTGGGTTGTGAGATGCACAGTCCAATGATTTCTTTATTCCCTTCAAGGATTCGGCAGAATCACTAAAGGTATATGTGACAGTCCGGACAATGGGATGTGAAAGCTGGAACCACACACTGACAATCTAGTTCTTTCTTTAAGGTACAACTATACTCGTCAAATACAACATGAAAGCAGCAGGCAGTGGGTTAGGCCAGAAAAAGAAATTCACATTTGGCGCTTATTTAGATGACAAAAGACTGGCTGTTTATATTTTGGGGAAAAAATTATATATTTTCTATCAGTTGCTCAAAGACAAGTTGCACACCAGACCTGCTGCAGTTTTCTGAGCGCTGTTAAGAAGATTAGCATGTCAGCCTACTTTATGTGCCAGTCTTTATGTGCCAGTTTGTGCTGTCATTTTATAAAAATAACAATAATCCTTACATTTGATACAGCGCCTTATCACGACTTCGAGACGTCTCAAAGAGCTTCACAGAATATACTGTAAAGTGAATTGACTGTATATTTTGTGGGTGAAACATGGCAGATTATGAGATATATAAGATTTATATTAGTCAACAAGCATAAAGATTGCCAACCACCTCTTTCATTTAGTGTTTATCTTTCTTTCAACTATTTCAACCCTAGGCAATGCAAGCATATATATATATATACACACACACACACACACACACTGTGCGTGACTGAGTTTGTTGGAATCGACCCAAATTCACAGCATTCACTTCATATTCTCTGCTTTTCATCATTGCTCATCCACTCAGCTAAGCTGGGTGTTGCTGGCACTGTCTTGCTCAGGATATGAGATAGTAAGATCAGATTGGAGGTGGGTAACAAGGCCAAGAAATGTCGATGGATGAAGAATGATTAATTCAATTTATATTTTCAGCCTTTCAGCTTTGCCTCCATGATTCTCCAGAATGTTGTGAACCTATTTACAGATTTAGATAATATAACACAACTCAACCCATCCCCACCTACTAGAATTCCCTACCTTGCCTGCAGCTTAGACCATCTGAACTCCTCTTGACTAAACTCTTTATCTGATTCAATGGATCAGCAAAGTGCTTTACTCTAGCTTTCCACTATGTCTCCCTCATTGGCTGAAAAAAGAGTTCATTGACACGCAGTGTGAGTTTTCAAATCCTTTTCCAAATAATGCCTTTTTTTTCCCCTCAAACACCAATCTTAGGAAAGCTACAGAGGTTTTGCACGTGGAAACCACTGAGAAGAAAACAACAACGACTTGCATTTGCACAGCGCCCCCTCACTCACACAGGGTAGACACCGAGAGCGCTTGACAGCGGTGGAGCCCGACACTGAGCCAGGGGGAGAGGGGGAGGTGACCGCAGGCACAGTCGAATAGGACGGTCTTTAGGCACGACCTGAAGCTGGGGAAGGAAGGGACGAAGCGGAGGGATAGAGGGAAAGTGTTCCAGAGTTTTGGGGCACAGCGACTGAAAGCGAGGCCACCAATGGTGGAACGGAGGGAAAGAGGGACATGCAGGAGGCCGGAGCCAGTCGAGCGGAGACAGTGAGTTGTGGGTTGGGAAGAACCTCCACAGGGTGGGACATTAATGGCGTTTAGTGATTGCCTCCTACAGGCTTCTTCCTCTCACTCCAGGGTAGGTTTACTCTCTCACCCCCCCGAGAGCTGTCACTGTCTATCTGTTAACTCTGACAACCACCCCAAACCATTCATTAAGTTCTCTCTTTAATTCTTTGCCATCACCCATGTCGTCAGACAACACATATTGTAACCTCCTATCGACAGTACCTGGAGGCAGAATCGGAATACATTCTGGATTGCAGGCAACCTTTCCCCTCTGCTGTCTCTCAATCTTTGTAGCAAAGAAGTCCTCAGTGCTAACGATTCTTCCAAGATCTGTCGCCACCCTTTCCTTATCGTATGGTTGCAGCTCAGCACCTGTGCTGACAAGTTGGCTGGACGTTTCTTTCTTTTAATAAATCTTCAGTCTTCTTTTTCTGCCTTCAAAGGAGAGTCCAAACACACGTTTACAACGTGATGTTTCTATCAGTGCAAAAGTCACCTTTTCTTTAGACTGCTCTAGACTCAATCAGTGCAGGAAGTCAGGTGCAGGTGAGCGCTTAAGAGTTGTTGAGGTTACATGTGTTCACATCAACTCTTAGAAATATGAATTCATCTCATTGTTGTCTGTCCTCCCTACCAGGCATCACCACAAAATTCTCCCCAAATCCCCGGTTTGTAATAATGACAGCAAAAAGGACTGAGACATTGTGGAGTTTGTTAGTAAGAAGTTAACACTGCAGCAAATGTGATCTATTTGGATTAACAGTGTGTTTGATTTGGACAGTGGTTTCTAATAAGATTGCTCAGTTGTTCATTTAGGACTTTAATGTATTGTTAGACATGTCGCTAGATCCCAGTAGCCTCCTTGCTCTCTGACTAATATTCAGGTCTAACACTCACCAATTGCTAGCACAAGTAAATATGTTGTAACACAATTAAAATGAGATTGCCTATTATAAACATGTAAATATAAAGTTCACCAGTGTTAACACTCGCCCTGCGTGGCGCCAGTTTTCCATTAAGATAGCTGGACACGTGACAAAATCTTAAACTTGGGTCAAGGTTGTATTATTGAGGTTTAGGTTTGCCAACAGTCGTTAGACGTGCAGACATTGTTAACGTTACTGGTTAATGGCCAATGACATTCACAATGAAAGACAAACAATAAATATTCATTGTGATTCCCAGAAAATCTATCGGACCGTGTGTGTATTAATAGGTTCTACACCAAGGAACACAAAACAATTATGTGTGGTGACAAGTCAATGACACACAAGTTGACCAATAATTTAGGTTTATTTTCATCAACTAGTTCAGTAGCAACTATAAGAGACTGAAATATATTCAAGAACTTGTGATAAACTCTATAATCCAATAAAATATCTTAACGCTCTCATCAGACCCTAATACAGCCATACCAGATTTTTAAAGTTGCAGTATTCACTTTTAGACCAAACAAGGCATTATAAAAATGTAGTAAATCATACAAACACCACTGATATGTTTCAGCATACATACATATCTTGTCTCCTCTTAAACCTTTAGAAATACTGGCATAAAGTAGCTTTTGGTCTGAACTATATACATTTCATCAACTGCAAGAATAGCATGTTAAGATACAGTAAATTCCAAGTAAGTTTGTGTGTCGTTGGAGAAAAAGTTGTTTTAAAAAAATGCAGGTGATTCTATCACTAAACTCTAGCCTGACAAGGTCAAAAAGGAATACCACAGCTTTAATGGGATTTATTGCATCTAAATGTTATCTCTCACCTTCCGAAAAATGTGCAAATATCATTTGACATCTCAGCTTTCAACGTAGCAGCTCAGCAGTGATTAACAGCCTTCCAATCAGGTCTATTGTAACCAGCAAGGAAGACAAAATGATTTCAGAAAAGGGGAAGATTCTGCCTAATTTCCTTTCTGGAAAAAAAATCCAAGCTTCCAGAACAAATTTGAAACATTCCCTGCCCCATCCCCAACGCCTTTCATTTGAAATTATTAAAATAAAATCTGGGAAAATACTGAACATCGTAGTGAGTAAGTGGTTATTAATTCATGAGAATTTATTATATAAAGTGGAAATCATTATGATTAATTCCAAAATATGTTTGTAGTCAACTTAAATTTCTCCCTTCAAACCCCCCCCCACACCCCTCCCCCCCATTATATCACCAACTATTTTTAAATTTAATGTTAAAGTTTGGGATTTTCTGTAATTTGACAAAACCCCTTAGTAACCGACTCAGCAAAGCTCTGTATAAAAGCTCAGTTAAGATACTTCAATTTTGGTAAAGTGTATTTTAGTCTATACATTATTTGTCAACTCACATTTACATCTACAGAACTGAGAAGTGAGAAGTGATACAAAGCAGTTATTGCATAGCAAAAGAAGCTGACTTAAATTTCAGTAGAATATTCACAACAATGTGCAAAACAACGCATGATAGCATCGGCAAGTAACAGTGAGGTACGCAGTGGGAAATCATAGAGCTCTCCCAAAATAAGAACCATCTACGAAATAAACCGCAAGAGCAATCAGAAGTATTACACGGAACTTGAAGGAGCCAAAAAAAAAAGAAACAAATCTATACAATTTTGTCTATACAGGTTATTTAAAGTTATATTTCCACATGTACTAGAAGCCCTTACATTTGAAGTATATTTTTTTTCTTACAGCAATATTGCTAAAATACAAGGCAGTTATGAAGATGAGGGATTTTGTCAGCTTGATTTTGTTAAGATAACACTTATACTTCTAAGTCCTCCTTCAACACTTTATTCATCTACATAGATACACTTTTTTTGTAAATAAATATTTGGGTAGTACTTACAAACTGGATTTTTTAATAAAAGGAAATGTATATTTTATTGGATTGCACCATAACTTGAAAATGCTGTGAAGGGAAATTCCATTGCACTTACTGTTGCTTCTCAGGCACTTGTCGCTACGGTTTTGTACTTGATAGCTGGCTGGAGACAATCAGACACTGTGCAGATCTGCCCACAGTGTGACATTGCAAAGTGCTTCCCCATAGAAATGATCAGTGGGGATGGTGGAGGATGGTGGCTGACTGTTAACTCATGTGGCCTTGAGAGCAACCCTTCATAGTATCACAAGGGGGCATAAAATATCTGCTCTCATATCATCTCTGATCAGTGATCAGCTAAAGTACAGAACATAGTCCTAAGGGGAACCTGAGCGTCACCAGTAAGTGGCCAGATAGTTTGTCTGTAATATTTGGACCTTATGGAGCAGTTCACTAGAAGATACGTTCTCCTTACGCTGAATGAGAGAGAGATGGAAGTACATTACATTGTGCTGGATTTGTAACTCACAGCTTGATTTAAAAAAGACACCATCAATGCAAGTTGATATGTACATAGTTATTATTACTTGTGCCATTTACCTGTCATCAATTTTAATAACTTTTTTAGTTTATTTTTCAAGAATGTCTGTCTTTTGGTAACTGCCTGACGACCACAATTTTCTTTCACTGAAACGGATCCTATTTTCCAGAGTAAGGTACCACTGTGTGGGAACCACAAACACAGTGTTCTTCCCTCCCGCTGTTTAGATACTGAAGACAAATAAAAAGCAATTTAAAGCCAGTGCTTTTACTCTCTGTGCATCTCATCAGCCTCGGCATCATTGCGAACCTGGGAAGGCCTGGGAAGGAGAAACACGGTGTTGTCTGCGATTGTCAACACTGCACATCCTACCGTTTGTTCTGGAAACTCTGTAGGGAGCTCCGATTAAATGGCCGTGTTGGTGAAGAGGGCAACCAGCCCAGCAACCTCAGTTTAGAGGGGTCAAAAAAAGCAACCGCCTGCCATCAAATAACTAACTGGCTGACTTTTTCTTAAGTTAATTAGAAATGAATATCCTCCTGGAAACGCTACGTAGCAGTTTAGTAAAGAAGTTTGTGGTGTTCGCGTAGTCTATTGGAAGCCGCTATGTTCCGTCTGTCAGCACAGTGCTTTGGTGTCCAGTTACGTTAGTTGTGACAGTTCTTATGGTTTCTGCACCCAGGAAGTTGCCTAACTTGGGTACGACACCAGCCAGTTCAAAAGAAACCCTTCACCCTTTCATCGACACCTTAATAAGTTCCAGCTTGACCTCTGGACCGCAGTGAAGATTGTTAATGTTAGTGGGAGAGAAGATGGGGGTCACCTGCTCCTCAACTAATATTAAAAATCAACTTGAGTGCAAGTATCAGTGAGCAGAGCTCACTCTGTGCATGTCGGTGGCTCTTATGTGCAGAATTCTGCTTTGCTTAAGGCTTACCCAGGGTGAAAGGAATACAGAGCAGGAGTGTAACTCTCGGCTGTTTGCTCAGATCAGAGAACCTTCAGGGCCTGTTGCAATAACTGTGCCTTAAAGCAGCTTCAATGATGAAGAAGTTTCTACTTTCCAACGATCAGATGCCATTCACCTAAACATAATCATATCACTGTATCATTCGAGGTGCACCACAGTTTGCCTTGGCACTTGCACAAGAGAGGGAGTTTACGGCTTATAGAAAAGAGAAGCTAATTTTTTGTAACACATTTTATTCGATAAAGACATTAAATGGAGGAAAGAACAATATTATCTCACAATGTTTCTCGGGCCTGGCACATTCTGTCTTTCGGCAGCTTTTTGAAGAGTTTTGTGTGTTACCAATAGTCCGAAAATATCATTTCCGCGCTGCCTATGGGTCAACGTTAGATAGGCCTGAATAAGTTGGAAGACACTACAGTCTGTTATGACCAATTGGCCAAACTGTCCGAGCTTTTTGGTTTACAGATCCCTTTTGGCATGACAATGATTTGGCCTCAATTGTAACTAAAATAAAGTTCCACCTTTTCACTCCTACGCAATGTCCAGCACAGTGGCAGTGACAGGCTCACTGATAGGTGACAAAATCTTCCTTCGACCCCAAGTGGTCACTAACCCACATTGGCTATTGCCTAAGCCCCAGTGCTAACCCCATCACCATATATATTGCCCTGTGCTCAGTGCCAGACGAGTCTTATTGGAATTAAAACTGGACCATGACATCACTGGTCATTGAGGCTGGTGACGGGAAAAGAAGGACATACAGGAAGATCTCCAACTCATTTCTTCCTTTAGGTCCATGCACATGACCTGCTCAGCCCAATGACATCTCCCTCTGCCCTGATGCCAACTCTATCCCCATTGAATAGAAATTGAACAATTTACATCGCTTTGATCTTTAGCCAATTCAGCCGTCGCTGTTTTAGAGAATATGTCAATGGCACTGAGGGTCGGGAAAGGTGATATAAGCTGAATGTGCATATTATTAACACTGGTTGTGGGAGGAAACTATATAGAAAAATAAATGCAGGATATTGCCACTGGCCTCAAAAAAAGGTTCCAATACTCACTGGTTTATTATGACTATATTGTTTCAGAAAGATGCCGATGACCTTTCCTCATCTATTGGTGGGTTGATGTACTTGTACATGAGCTTTTATGTGCGTCCTGATGAAACTCACTGTTTCTAAGCTCGACAAAAGAGTCGATCCAATTGCCAATGATTATAAAGAGATGTGCATATTCATGCTGTGTTATAATTCGATTGGTTTAGAAAACAGAAATAATTCCAATGGGCAAAATTGCCTGATCCCCATCTCATTAAATGTTGCTGAACAATAACTATGTGCACATTGTCACCCTGATGTCAGCAATAAATTCATTTCAAAGTTATTAACAGAGGAGCGTGCGTTCTACAAAAAACAAGGATTTGTATGGCAATGAACAGGAGTAGCAGTCGGAGTGCGAATGCTTTTGTTACCATCAGTCCCCTCTGCCAATAACAAGTCCAATAAGAAAAAAAACAAGACCTCAAAAATAACATCAGCTACATTTAACAAGTCATAGCCAACAAAATAAGATCATTTTGTGAACCCTGACATTTTCGAGAATTATTTGCATGGCTCCTCCAGGAACGTTAACCCTTCCCAGTCCAGGGCATTTGATAGAAATAGATTTCACTTCTCTGATAAACCTCCTCCACTGCACCAACCGCCTTAAAGTGGAATCTCTGAAATCTGAATTCAGGGAATCCTGCCAACCTGTTAGGTGTCACATTCAGATAGTGTTTAACAATATAAAATATTTCGCATTTTCTAGGCCTACATTNAAAAAAGGTGTAAACTGAAATCCCCTTGTCATTTAAGCCAAGAAAAATGCAAACGGGCAACAATCTGCTCTACAAGGAGAGGGTTATTGATAAACTAATTCAAATCATGCTTTTGGCCTTCCTGGGTGAGAAATGGTTATATACCAGTAGACCCCATATTTTTTAATATCGTACCATTAAGTTATTAACCATTCAAGTCCCAAGAACCTTCGAGTACCTTAGCACCTTGCCGGTGTCCTGGAGAAAAGGTGAATGTGTCGTACATCAAACTATTACCGAGTTTAGTTTATTTAAATAAAACATTGTTTTTCTCATACTCATAAATTTTGTCCTCGTAATACTTGAAATAAAATATATTGCAAAAAAAATAGTATACAACCTTCTCATGACAAAGATCAACAACTGAACTGCTTCCGTCTTCTGCTGTCTTCCGCATACAGTTTCGAACGAGCCTGAAAGGAAACAAAGTGCCTTGCCAAGCGAACAACGGCAAGTCTTGGAACGTTACCCAACTCGTGGTAACAGAAGCTTCCAGCTACTTCTGCAAGTGCCAGAAATTGTTAAGTCTATTTTAACTGCCCTTCTCCTCCCCAGGGTAAGAATAGGTTTAAACTACATTTTCATCAGTTCATGGGCATGCTTTTTTAAGAAAAGTCCCTATACAGTGAGTAATTCAGTTATGTTAGCTTTGCGACATAACTAGATTGCTTTTACTGACAATGTGTATATATTATCTTATCTATATATACATATATATAGAAAGAGATAGTGAGAGATTTGTTTATTTCTGTGTTTAACCAGAAAACAAACCTTTCATGGTTTATGCATTGGTGGTGGGGGAGAGGGTGGGGGGGAGGAAAGAAACAGCCTATGCATCAAATTGAATGGGGAACAGGAATCTGCTAGAAATTTCATGACATTTCCCAGTAAATAAAAAATATTTTTTTTTGAAATCCAAAGAACTCTGTTTTGCTTTTTGCTTTTTTTTAAACGTTTTCAATTATGGTCCTCTTCTAGGAGAACGGGCTCTCTATTCAAATAAGTCGCCCAATAGACCAGGTTGAAAATCCCAAACATTAATGGGAATCCTATTCTGGCCAGTCTGTCGATCCTACTGACACTGTTGAAGGTCTTCTTGGGCTCTGGCGGCTTCTGTTCTGGTTTGGGATCTTTGGGTTCCGTGGCAGCACTCTTGGCGATGGTTGCCAGGCCTGGATCTTTGGCAATATTTGGAGCAAAATTTGCTGACGTTGCCGTGTAGGTGTTGTTCCTCTTCATCAGAGACTCCTTTTCCTTTTTCTGCAAAGGAAATTTGAAAAGAGAAAAGAAAACAGTTTTGCAGAACCAATGCACGCACGGGCAGAGATTGCACCTGGGTCTACATTCCCTCTGTTAATGTAGCTTTCAAGAGCAGAGGGAGGTCCAACCTTTTGGCTACAGATTTGAGAAACGTCTGCAGGCGTGTAAATAATATTGTATCCTGATTGATCAGCCCTGTTGCTTGGGGCATCATGTGTGTCAACTGTGTTCGCTCATTGGATAATTAAATAAATTTTTAACAAAAATAATAAATTGGTCACTTCAATCCACGACTGTTTGTGGAGACGCTGCTGTGTGCAATTGGCTGTGAATCGTTTTGAGATGTATCAAAGACGCGATGAGGCGCTGTATTAAATGTAAGGATTATTTATTATTAATTGGAAATGGCTGGATGGCTGAATGAAATCATCTCACCAGTTTGTGCGACCAGTTGGACCACCCTGATTTAGAGGGTCCAAAATTCGGCCTGAACACGGTGACCAGGCCATTCCCTTCACACAGCAAATACATTCTGCTTCATGTCCCCCGCCCTACCCACTATTTACTCAATTCAATCCATTTTACATTTACATTTACATACAAATAAAGCCCATCATATGACTTCGGTGTCACAGTTTGGGCCTCTCAATCAGCAATGTATTCCGTCCATGTGAAATAAGGACAGGGCAATACAATCTTCTCTCTGCTCAAAGGTGATAGGAAGTGATTTCACGAGAGATTTACGGCTCAAGAGAAAGCATGCGGGAGCAAATATGAAGTTGCAAATTGGCTAGTTAATAGGAAACAGAACAGTAGCACCAATGGCAATTAACCTAATTATTAGTGAGCTAAGCCCAACAATCCTCCAAGGGTACATCCTGTAACTCTCTCCTGTTCATATGACCTTTTTAAAGGCATTTTAAGCAAAATGTCTAAAAAGTCCATACAAATTGTAATATTATTCAATTTCCTTTCGTTTATGGAAATTCTAGACAGATGTTGTATTGTGGGTGCAATCCAAGGTGCGCTCTGTGTATAATTGCATTAAAAAGACTATTAACCTTTGATATCTCGTATAAAAATAAGGGAGTAATTTGTTTGCATACCACTGTTTCCCAAGCTTTAATGTAATAATAAAGTGAATAATCCTTGCATTTGATATAGCGCCTCATCATGTCTTTGAAACCTCTCAAAGGGCTTCACAGGATATACCGTAAAGTAGTGACTGGGCGAAACGCAGCAGCCAATTTCTCCCAACAATGTATATTGTATATTACAGTACAAAAATACTGAGTACGTTAATACAATTTACCAATGTGTGTCAGTACTGTGAGATGTCACATCTTATAAAAACATTTCGTCCTTTGGTGGTGATGAGCTCGGTTGTGGCACTTAAATAAATGCGATGTTTGTGCATTTTACCTTTTCAGGAATGAGGCTTTTTCCATCCCAGGCCCAACTCCTCTTCGTGAAGTAGTTGACCGTAGCGAATTCTATGAGTGCGGAGAATACGAAGGCATAACACACAGCAATGAACCAATCCATGGCAGTGGCGTATGCCACTTTGGGCAGCGAGTTCCTGGCACTGATACTCAGTGTTGTCATTGTTAGGACAGTTGTGACACCTGAAATAAGACACAATAAAGAAAGCATGTTACTGAAGGAATTTCTTGTATGAGACACAGAGACGTTCCCTGTAGCTCTCAGTTAAATAAAGGTATACGCATGGTACAACAGCATTGCTCATTGAATACACAAGAGAATTGAAAAGGTGTTGGTTTTGCAATGGGATTTACTGATTACCACTGAGAGTTGATAGTTGGAAAAACTGCCTTTAACTGGTCATGGCTTGTGATTTACCGACTGTGCTTTGAAGCAGGGACTTTGCAAGCTTGAAAAGCAAAATGGTCTCTTTCTCCTGACGGCAGTCTTGCTCCACAGTATTTCTGACTCACTTTGATACCTTTGGGTACCAGAATTTGGCCATTTGTGGATATTTGCAAATTGGACAGCAAGAAGGGAATCGCAAAAGGTACTTCCCATCCAGTTTGTGAATATCGCAAATTAGACCTCATTGTGGGCAGAATGACAAGCTTCATGGAGATTAACAGAGCAGATCGCTGCGATAGTCACTGCTGTGCGCAATTGGCTGCCGCATTTCACCCAAAAAATATACAGTCAATTCACTTTACAGTATATTCTGTGAAACTCTTTGAGACGTCTCAATGACGTGATAAGGCGCTACATCAAATGCAACAATTACTATTGTTATTATTATAGATCCCCTTGACAGGATTTTTGACCTAAACATTCAATTATTGAAAATTACAGTTGCAATTTTTTTTTGCTTTAAAAAGTCATCATAAATTGTCGAAAAGTTCAAACTCTCGTCAACCCCTGAATCCGAACAAACAAACAACTGGATCCAAGCTTCAAACCCATCAGGTGATAAACAGCTTCAATCCACTCACCAAATACAGTTCTTGCAGGAACAGATTCTCTGTTTAACCAGAATGAGACTTGTGAGAGAATAACCGTCATAATACATGGTAAATAGGTCTGAATGACAAAGTAGCCGATTTTCCTCTTCAGGTGAAAATGTGCAGTCATGACAACATATTCCCCTGGAAAGAAAAGTAAAGGATTAGAATAAGGAGCATTCACACCTGCCTCATACCTAGATACACAGAAGACTCTGCTCCTGAAACACAGCATTGTCCAGAGATATCATAAAGTCAGCTGGTGTGTGTAAGAAATGGAACTTATGTAGAGTTAGGAATGAAGTTGGGTTGAGATGCATTGCTGGGACTGTAGGGACAACGTCATCTGCCATTGATCCATTCTAAACTGAGAATACTTGAGGATAATCAATTAATGAATGAATGAATATTAATCCTTACATTTGGTATGGAGCTTTTCACGTCAGGACGTACCTAAGTACTTCACAGGGTATACTATGAAGTGTAATTTAGTGTAATAAGTGTAATAAAACTGTGTGTTTTGTAAGAGAACAGGCACAGCCATGTCCCACAAACAGCAATGAAGTGAATGACTGCTTTTATTTGGAGGATTGTTGGCCAGGACACCAGGAGAGAGAAACTCACTTCTGTTTTTAAATATCGCAATGGGATCTTTAACATCCACCTGAACAGGCAGACAAAACCTTGGTTTAACATCCCATTGGAACGACAGCACCTCCAACAATGCCACAGTCCCACAGCACTGCGGGAGCAGCAGCTTAGACTAAATGAGTTCCAATTCCCAATGTGGGGCTTGTACCAACAACCCTGACTCGGAGGTCAGAGTGCTACCAACTGAATAAATGGCCGAACAAATATCTCTCACTTCGAAAAGCTGAAAACAAACCATCCCCAACTTAACTCACTTTTAAGAGACAAACATCAGATTCTACACAAATTATTTCAATGTTGCCCGGCAAGGCAGCCAATTACACACTAACTATGGGGAACATTATGATTTCTGAACCATGAGATAACGTAACACATTATATTCCACCTCCACTTTCAAAACTAATAATAAATTCTCCCTGAATTTCTCCCGTTGCACTATTAATCTTGTAGCTGGAATGAATATGAGGATGACCCCTGGTATTCTACCAGACACACATCAATCACTGTGTGGGTATGCAGTAAAAGAAAGGAGCCATGTTTTTGTAACACCAAATAACAGGAAAACATCTCAAAAGTAATTATTGCCAACTGGGATGTCTGGTGTTATCAGGAAATGTGGCAGCCATTTGCTCCACCGAGAAGGGCTGAATCTGTCGATTCTTGACCAGGTCACAGAGAGCAACATTCTATTTCTATACAATACCATAGAGCTTAGGCTCATTCTGCCAAGGTGAAAAGTGCTATAAGTATGTAAGTTGTTGTTGGAACAGGCACAAGTCTGATAGACAGCACCCAAGATGTTACTGCACAGGAGTGTCAGACTAGGGTATGACCCCAGAACGTTGCAACTCCAAGGCAAGAGTTTCACCCACAAAATACACAGTCACTCTCCTTTACAGTGTGAAGCACTTTGGGATGTCTCAATGTCGTGATCAGGCGTAAGATCAAATGCAAGTGTCATTATCATTATTATTTTTACAAACCTGTGCTGGATTTAATAATATCTTTGCCCACAGTTTGTCCCAATAAGTCGTATTGATTCAGCCGAGAACCGTCTTCAGCCACAACGACTGATTGTGCTGCTCCGTGTGTCCAGATGTACACCACCTCTGACGTGGTGTATGCGTCTGAGTGGAAACAGAGCGTGAGGTGAGTTAGTTCTGACCGACCACAGCAACACAACACATCTGGAGTGCAGAGAGACAACCCCCCCACCCATTCCCAGAGCCAGGTCTGAGGCATCCTGTAACGGAACGGGATATTAATGTGTTTTTTTTCTGTCACGGCAATTGATTTTTTGAGATAAGTGTAAATCCATATTCTATCCATAAATACATTTGTATTTAGTATAAAAACCACGCACAGCACTCCTGCATTAGCACATGAGTATAATAATATTAATAACATTAATAATAACATTAATAATAACAATATGAATAATAATATCAGTAATATTGATAATAAAAGCAACAATAAAGATGCTCCAGGATGTTGGTTCCTCTCAAACAGAGGGGAGCTGCTTTCCTAAATGAGATAGCTTCCCCCACCCTCCCACACCCCGATCATAGTTACATCTCCTGTCAGCTCAGGAAGAGAGCAGCCAAACCTCATGTGGACACCTGTTCATCCTCCCTCAGTCAATGATATGATAAGGGACAGAGAGAATACGCATTATATCTATATCTATATATATATATATATATATATATATCGCACACACACATACGCATACACACACACACACACGGGAAAGGGGAGAAGAGAAACATAATAAGTATAAATCACATAATATTTCCTTACAAGGAAACTGGAAGATGGATTTATATATTGCAAACCACAAGCTTTGCAGCACAATATTATCACAACTGAAACAGGCTCCATTAAATAACGCTCTTTACTCTAGCAAAGCAACAGGATGAAACTGCAGAGTCCTGTTAAGTGCCGTGATATCCATTGGGCTCTGTATTTACCAAACTGAACCGAGAAGACTTCGCTGCTGCCGTTGCGTTAATGACGCTTGAAATTAAAGTGAAAATTGTTTGGCAAAACAGTTTTCAATTGACAGAAGAAGAGCCAGACACATGAGCTCTATCACACGATTGGTGCAATGACACAGTTTAACATGACTTATGCCACTGCTTTGTGTGATTGCCAGCCAAGGAAAAGAACATTTTGGCCGAACGCAGACAATGGCGGTTGAAATTAAGATGAAAAACAACTAATTATCAGAAGAAGATAGGGCAATTGGTAATACAAATCTGATCAAGACAAATTGATCGGTGAAACACCCAGAAAGCAATAGGAATCTGGGATAAATTACTCAGTACTGGGAGTCATTTGTGTATTAATGTTTGTAATGCAGATTCTCACTCCTTTAAGCCAACCCCCCCCCCAATAATTGGGGCAATTATTCAAACTGTTACTACCTAATTACTCCCAGGCAAAATATCACAGGGTCCTCATTTTTATTCTAATTATTTTATTGTATTTAATATTTTGCTGCTAATGCCATTCCAGTGTAGGTTTAACACAGCAATAACGGACTGCCACCAGGGAACTCGAACGGAAATTTACTTCAGGGAGGGGGGAAAAAAAATGTGTCGGGAGCTATTGGGTAAAAAAACATGAGTTAATGGCCAAAATGTAATGATTATTAAATGTAACAAATCATCACTGCCGCAAAATAATGTATTCTGTGTTTCCATCCGCCACCTGGCACAAAGGAGAAATGAGCAATACTTTTTTCTACCACATTTGAACACAATTATATAGTATGTATAATCTGACTAATAATTTATTTTTTTTGGTCAGCCACGTGCGGAAACCCATCAACCTGCTTAAGAGTCTCCAAACCAAACTGAGAATTATTTAAAACTACAGAGAATAGATACAGACTCCAAAGTAGATGTAATATAACAAACTGCCTCCAGGTCTTTGGCCCAATTGATAAATACATAAAAAACACAATCCTTGGGAAGAGATGCCTGAATACATCAGCAAAGAAGCTTTAAATAGCCGACAGGAGGTCTAAACCCGTAATTTTGAAAAATGAACGCAGAATTTGTTACTAATGTTTATGCGTCACCAACAGCACATTGATAAAGCTGTCACGGTGAAGAGCTTCAATAAGTGTCAGTTGTCACAGGTGTAAAGTGCAGATAAAACATTCAGTTTGTTTTGGGAGTAAAATTTTTTTTATTTTGTCGAATTTACGCTGAACTTCGGGAGGACTTAAACAATTCTTCCCAGGGTTCCAGGAGCGGTGCTACATTAGCCATGGAAGCCATTGATGGTAGGACTGGGATCACTGAACCTAAACTTCCTGGCTCTGCGCAAACCACAACTGGTGGCTTGTGAGCAACGCTGTGAGCAGAGTAATTACAAGCTCAACATGTTCCACCAATGGACTAAGCCAAACTGTGCATCACCCTGAAATATCATCAGGTCACGTCATCATGTCACTGTGCATCTGGATGTTCGTACCAGTCCTATGAGGAAAAAAAGAACAAAAAAAACTAAGAGTTAATTTATTTACATCAAATGCCACGAACGATTAAGGCCAAAGAATGTCCTGCATTTAATTTGAACAATTTACTAATCATTATTACTGAAAGCATTACACTAGACTCTGTGTTAGTATTAATAAAGTATGTTAATCATTGATAAAGAATTGGAAAAAAGTATGTAGAAGGCTTACCAGGTTGAGATGATGCTTAGGAGGGAGGGAGATGCTGGTTCCATCCTTCTGAAGATTAAAATGCTTGGCTACCATTTTCTTTGGCCAACTGAGTGTTTCTGTTAAGGACTGTGTATCTGTGTTCGTGCTATCTGAAAACTCTCCCCCACCTCCTCACATCCAGACATGGTTTTGTTATTGACGTATCACTGGGTAATTCTCACTACCTCACAAACTTTGCTGTCTTTCGGGAGGATAAAGTTCACCTGGCTCTTTTGATGTGTCTCTGTTTTGAAGGCAAATAAAGCATGTTTGAATGTGATTTACCATTTCACCTTTACAAACAATGCTGCCACACTGAAAACATACTCACTTGTGCTTTTTTTCTTTCTTTTGTGACTTTTTTTTCTACCCTTTGTGGTCAAGGCCGCATCGAGACTCAGTAATTTACAAAGGCATAAATAACTGACTGATTTCCAGTTGTTTCATCGTTACCGTAGCTGGATTTTTCAGTGCTTTTTGGTAGATGTCTATAAATACTCCCAGGAAACTGTTTACAATGTGCTTTCTCCAACATTCCTATAACCCGGCCTTTTTTTTTTGCTCCGAAACAAAATATTAAAATGCTTTGATTTTTCTTTGAAAATGAGACTCTCCCTTCTTAAAAGCATGTTTGTTCACAGTTGAGTGCCCATAAATACACAGTCACTACAATTTAAGTACATCCTGTTAATTGCTGTGAGGCACCTCAATGACATAATGGGGCGCTGTTTCAAGCAGAAGGAATATTTATTTATGTTAAAAGCTACATTCACAGCAAGACGCCCTCTGGAAAATATGCCCTAAGGTTGAAAAGAACCCCCACCTGCCCACCACCCACCCCATCTCTTTAAAGGACTCATCTCACAGCTGAACCTTGTCCTGTGCTATAGCATCGAACCTGTTGGAAAAAGCATTGGGCTCATCATACCTGCTGTGACAAACAGAGACTATTCGAACATCTGTGAATATTTCTCTACTTACAACTGCCGAATTTTAGCGGGCAGGCGTGAGCATCCATCGGGAAGTCTTCCAAATGCATGGGGCACTCAGCACGTACCGTCAACCTGCCAAAATAAACAGCCCAGAAATAAATAAAAGTACATCGCACGTGATACGTGATGTTTCACGGGAACATCCTCGGGTGGTGTTGTGCACTAATCACGGGACACATTGGGATAAAGGAGGCCGTTTGGTTCATTCGACCATCTCATGGACATCTTGGTGTTTTCCCAGTACAGTATCAAGCTGGTTCTTTCATCAGTGAAATAGAGCACATTCAAAAAGGGAATGAGGGTGATAGGCCGAATGGCTTCCTTCTGTGCTGTAATATTCTATGCAATATTCTATAAAAATGGCTCAGCAACCCTGGTCCAGGGAGCATGGCATAAAACCTGCCAAAGGGCTCCAACTCCTGAATATTTACCCAAGGAATCAGGCTGGAAGGTGTGTGTCTATAGCTATAGATTGAGAATAGCCTCGGGGTTAACTGTAACAGCCCTACAGGTGAATTCTCAGAGCTCACACATGGAGAACGGACACTGCAAGGTCCCAGAGGAAGCTCACACCTTTGGGACACTCATCCAGTGGCTTGTGGGTGAGAAGACGAGGGGAAACAGGAGGGGAAGAAAATTAAAAGTACATCGTGAAGAGAGAGCGTAGTGATAGAATTTTAATAATTAAACATCTCCTTAGAGAAGCTGACATTTTAAGTGAGCAAACGACAGCTTATATTAGTGAACTAAAGTTAATTCAAGCATGTCTCACTGGTTGCCAAGCAAAAGTCTGCCCACAACACACGGTGGGAGCTGTTCTGACGAACTGGTTACACAACATTTGCAAGTGGGACCAGCAAATTTGGCAAAAGTGAGAATGTTCTCCTTTTTGACTGTGTAGCATAATCTCTTGTGGGGCCAAATCTTTCTAAACTGCCATTCACTCAGTTTGCAGCCATTGCTGCTTTGTGGTTGAGTCGGAGTATTTCCAATTCATCCGCAACCATTTCCTCGCTGAGAATACACACCCATCCCTGTCAGTATCTGCCTGTGCTCAGGCGCAGGGTCAGAATGCAGAACCATTGAACATAATTAGAGGCGCTTCTCTACAGGGGATGGGTAACAATCCTGTTGGTATTGTTTAGCGCTCTGCTAGAATCCTGCGATATGTATCTCAGGGTCTACATCCTGTCCCAATTACATGTACAAGGCAAGGGTTAAGATTTTAGTCATGAATTTTATTCTAAATGTCAGATATAGAGCCAAATGTATAAAGCCACTTAAATTGCATTTCCTTCGCTCATTCACAGACAAACGGACATGAGGGACTGAAATTCCTCAAACTGCTAAGTGAACTGATTTTGATGGTCAGCTTATTCTAAGATTTTCCCATTATCGGCAACGTCCCTGCAAGAAGTTCCTCAACCTACATTTTGTCCTTGACGATCCCTGGGAATTGTTGACCAGGTGCAAAGAGTTTTTTTTTTGACATGACATTGAATTTAAACCAACGATAGGTTCTTCTGAGTTATAGGATATTCACAGAATACCATCTCCAATCAAGCAGGTTGGACGCTGGGAAATACAGGGCTGAAATTACACCTTGCCATAGCCTGCAAGAATATTTTAATCTTAAAATTTAAGATTGTGCAAACGTATAAAAATTCAATCAGAATTTGGAAGTCGGTTCTTTTCAAGAACTGTTGGAAACCAAGAACAACAACTTGCCCCTCACACAGGGTAGTGTCCCAGCGCTTGAAACCAGCTTCCAAATTGCGACTGGATTGAACAATTCTTCACAATTATGCGCAAACTTAAATTTTAAGTCAAAATTATGTCGATTAATGAAAATGCGGAACGGGCTGAATGGCCTCCTCCCGTTCTGCTGACATCATCATTGTAATTTAATTGAGAAATGAACTGCATTTCAATTCCCGGGTCATTCTACATCATCAAGCAAAGATCTTTGTCATCTTCATGCCAATCTATATCGCAAAGACTCCCCACAACATAACATAAACCATTAAATGCATACAGATCTCCCCTGGCAATACAATTTGTCAACAAATACATAGTCACTACACTTCAAAGTAAAATCCCACGAATATACTTCACAGTAAAGTCCTTTCGCCTCACTCCCTTCCTTGCCTCCTTCAAGGCCTGTCTCAAGACCCTCCTCTTCGACCGCACCTTCGGTCACCCCTCCCCTACCCCCACTCTCCCTCCCCTCCCCACCCTCCTGATCCCAAACCCCTGACTGTCCAACGGATGGGGATGGCCTCCCGACATGAAAGGCTCTGCATAATTTGTTGCTGTTGTTGTGAAGCGCCTTGAAACATCCCAACAATGTAAACAGGTGTGACGTCAAATTATTATTATCATGCTTATTATTATTAGGAAATTATTTGTGTTATTATTTTAATTCAGTGGGTACAGCATCTCTCCTTCTGGAGTTTTTTTGTCAGAAAGCCTAATTTAATTTTAGCACGCAGCCTACGCAAGAGAGAGAGAGAGAGAAAAAAAAAAGAAACACAGTTGTTTGATGATGATTTTCTTCCATAGGTAGAAGATCACCGTTCAGCAAATGTGGGGAGGAGCAGTGTGGGAGGGAAATGGGTACAGTGCGACACGGAAAGACAGGTGCACAGAACACTCGAGTGCAGCACCAGATAGGGTAATGAATTACTCTGCATTTAGCGTGGGTAATTAAAATTAATTACTTTAATTAGCTATAAATAACTTTGATTAAACTGTAATTATCATTTGTATGTTAATTTATATTATCTTCTCACCACCGCATTCCAAACCGGCCTCTGTATCCCTGTGCTTGACAACGCCAGATAAGCAGCAGAAACCGATGACCAAAGTCATTTTGCTTTCGTCCCAACTGTCCCGAATGGTTTAATGATCGCGCATTTCCCGAAGAACAAACCCCTAACGATTTTTGTTGGGATCATAACATTGGTCTCTGGTGTTGACATGGGTTTCGTTGCTCACCTCATGGTGTAGAGGAGGGTTCCGTCTTCAGTTATCCTCAGCAGTTTGTTGGGCATCGTCATGTTGTGGGCCACGGATTTCTTCCCGTTGTAGAAAAACGTGTCCGGAGTCCAGATTCTGCTGGCCATCAAGTTATTTAAACGGAGAATGGTCATCGGACCTTTGAATTTCAACCTCTCGTCTTCCCAGCTCTGGCGAAAAAACACGTCTATTGTGTATTCCTGGGGGAATGAATAGATATATATGTTTATGCCAGTGCACCACATACTCATACACACACACACACACACACGCACACACCCTCGCAAGGAGGTAATTTAATGCAACAGAATGAACACAGCCTATAATAAATACACAACTGAGACCGAAGCCAGTCCCTCTGATTTACAGTCAGCTTGTGTGAACGTCCACAACTTGTGCCATTGCTTGTTTAATTGAAAAGCATTTTCTCTCTTTCAAAAACAAATTTTTTTAAGATTTATTTTCCCAGCTTCGGGACAGATGAATTTTCTGACAGCCCATAAATTATTACATAACGATTCATGTAGTAAGACTAAACATATCGGATACACAGATTCCATTAACGGAGTTGATTCTCGCCTTGATTCTTGCTTAGGAAGGCAGAACGGTATTAAATATACATGGAAACATAAGAATGCTAATTATATTTCCCACAGAAAGGTGAAACGTTAGTTTAATAGAAATGCGTTTACGATTTGTTGCGCTGATTGTATGATTTTTTGCATTTCCATCTGTATCAAAAATTCCGAAAAAGGTAAGGAAGCCTTTTACTTTTTTCCTGACACAAGTTCGACTCTGAGCAATTTCATTTTAAAAAAGGGAGAGAGAGAGAGAGAAAAAAAATGTCAAAGTTAATTTGCGCTTGGAAGACTGACAGCAATGGCTTTCATTACAGATCAAGGGGGAAAAACAGACACTTACCATATCAGTATCTGAGACAGGTCCAAAACTTGTTACATAGATGTCAGTCTTGACTTGTGTAATACGCTCTAGTGAAGAACCAAATTAGGGCAGTTATTGTCTATCCAAACTTCTTTCTGCTTCAAGCTACGAGCAAAAAATATCTGAACAGATGACTCTATTGATCTTAACAGACTATTATTAATAACACGCAAACACTGATCAGCTTTGCAATTTTTTTTCTGTGTTCCGAATTTAATGGAGCATCGACAGTGATCAATTATTTAACGTTCTCTAGAATCTACCTCGTGCGTGACCCAAAAAAGCATTTTTCCACACACACACACACACCCTCATTTCGTTATGTAAAATGTGCTCATTATTTCAATCAATATTTTGTACTGTAACTATCTTTTAAAACAAACACACCAAGAGAGAACCCTTCCTATGAAACATGAGTTTATTCAAAATCAGAGACTTTTCGGCGCAGATTGACACACAAATGTCGCGATCCGACAATACGGAAATGATGGGACATTCTCAATGAAAAAGAATCAAGTGGCAGTGTTCCTGCCCATTCTTGGGAGATGAATGAATTGATATTTCGCAGCCCTTTAGATTAATTTACTGATAATCCTCTTTGCATTGATATCATGTCATCGAAACATCTCAATTCAGTTGTTCACAGGATTTACTATAAAGTGTAGTGACTGTATTTGTAGGTGAATTTGAATCCTACATATGTGAGCCTGTCACTAAAGAGTTATTCGCCAGTGCAATGTTTTTAGTTAAAGCGGCAGTGGGTGAGCAAAGCTCCTGTTATTTCACTGGGATGTTAAGATTCGTATCAATTTCCTTTTGGTGACAAGGAAAGGTGCGATTGTACGAGTGAGTATTTGAAATCTTTCAAAGAGAGTCTCTGTTGTCGAGATGAAGTGTCAACGGTTTAATTTTGCTGATTAATCCAGCCGACAGATAGGTGTGTTTGTTAGTTGTTGCTACACAGTTGTATTTACAGGTGAGACTGAGTTAGCTGAGCAAGTGTTGGATCTGCAGATTGCGGTAAACACTGCCTGGTTTTGAACCTTCGATGGATCTGCAATAGTGAGACTGGAAAGGAATCCAAACACCACCAGCTTTTAACCAATTTACATGGAGTGTCAACGTGAATACAGTAACTCAAACAGAGACCGGGGCCCAATGGACGCCTACAGCAGGCTGTGAGCATAACAAAATCACAACAACAACAACAACATTCAACACGAGATGCTTGTTAAATTGAAGAGCAACAGAACCAACTGAGTATTGTCAATATCCGGCAATGACACAGCTATTGTAGTTGAATTTGGTGCTCCCCAGTCATATAATGACACATTTTAATTTTAGTACCCAGTACTGACAGAGTTAAATCTGTTATGTGCCAAATACACAGCATCAGTATAATTATACTTGCTTTTATGTTACGTACAGGAGATATTGGCCAACAATTATATAGTTGTGCCTTTTAGAATTAGTTCTCATATATATATATATATAGAGAGATATGGTGAGAGCTGTTATTTACAGTGGCTGACACCCCTCACTGGTACAGTTATATAGTTACAACTGATACTCATTATAATAACTTACATTTATATAGTGGCCTTCACACAGAGCAGGGTCTCACAGCGCTTAAAGTCAGTGCCCAGCTCTATGCACAAACCTATAATAGTTAGTAAACTAACACTGACAGTTATTTATACCTGTTATGGTCAATATTGATAAATATCAGTGCTCGGTCACAAACAGACCTTCTTATTATAAAAACATCTTGCTGGTTTATAACGGAGTTGAGGAACACAGCAATTTAATCTACAACATCGTGCTTTACTGAGGAGCCGTTTACACACCTCCCAACCCTGGTCTCAGCCGGTTGTCATATCCATCTAGAAGACTGTCAAGGATTCGAGTGAAGATTGTGATGTTGTCCTTGGCTTCATCAGACATTCCAAAGCTAAACAGAGACAATCAGATCAAACCACGCCATCAAATAACTCCGGGCACCCATTATCCTCATCTCTTGATCAATTTATCACTAAAATCAGTCGTTGCTGGCAGCTGAAATCCATCTGAAATGTGAACAGGGTCACAATTCTGACTACTTCCAATTTGCCACGTGGCTGCCTATGCGAGAGCTATCTGTTTCTCATTGTATACTGTGGAGTTCTGGTCATACAGTTGCTGCACTTAGTCTGAAATGGCACGGATTCCTGAATAAGCCAAACATAGGGGCAAAACAACAAGATATTCAGATTTGAGGATGAAGAAACGTTATAGATATTGGGCTGCAAATTAAGAGGCCATTTCCCCCCTCCCCCACCCAGGTCAGACACACAAAGTCACAAGAGGAAACTGTAAAGAATTAATTGGGAATTGAGAGAAAATAATAATAATAATCCTTGCATTTGATATAGCGCCTCATCACGTCGTGTCCTCAGGTTCTACTGTTCTGAATAAATGAAGAAACGCCTATTGAATAGAAATGAAGGCACAAGAAGCCTTTTCACAATTCTTGCCTTAATTCTTGGCATCTCTTTCCTTTATAAATAACTAATTCAATATATTCGGGTATGAGGCAATCAGTCGCCTAAAGTATTGAAAGCAATTTTAAAACAGGAAGACAGCGAAAAGAGCTACTATTTCGATTTTCCAGTTGATATTTTTACTGAAATTCATATTTTTAAAGAATACGTAAATATATACATACACACAATTTACAGTGTCTGCCAACTTGTATTAGATGATTAAAAAGGTCCTGCTTTATTTATGATAGCTCTCATTACCATTACATCAGGGCAAACAAGTTAACTGCAGACGAAATGTTTAATGGCAGAATTTACAGACTCAAACAGACTCTAACCCTAACCCTAACAGCTGTTTTTTTAAAAAAGTTATCTTTCAATAACTGCAATGTCTAACAACAGTAACCACATAAAGGCTTTTGAAGCCCTCACATATTCTACCAAAGTGAAAGCACTGCTATCTCTGACCAGGTGTGTTTCCTCTTCAAATCCACTTAACCTGTCAAGTGTGACTTTAACCTGATCAGTGACCTTTCTTAAAATGTTTTAAAAACAAAAGGTTCTTCCTAACCCCATGGGGAGTTCCGTAAAAAAAAACTCTTCCATTTGCAAAACCATATTTGATGTGTGCCGTCTAGTTTTTATTAGCTCAATCGTTGCAAAAATAGTTCACAAAATACACAAATAATAGATTTAGAGTTTGGATTTCAACGTTCAGATTTAACACAGCCCAAATATCAACTGAATTTCATTTGGAGAGTGATTGATAGTCAGCGGGTTGGAGGAGGGGAAAAAATAAATCACATTAAAACCTATAATAAGATTTTTTTTTAAAAAATCAGGTTATGCCTTTCAACATTATATTGAAAATATTATTCTGGTTCATTGTTGATCAATCCTGTATTCTCTACAACATATTGACCTAAATGGTACAATAACTCTGTTGGTAGGAAACTGGAGAGGGTTTGGGATACGGAACCACTGCGGTCTCTTTAAAGTTATTTGCTTTTATAATCTGTTTAAATGTTATGAATACTATAAAGGTGACAGAGCGGAAGATACAAGCTTGGTGCTGTTTATTGTTATGGCATGTTAAATTATGCACCAACACAGACAGTGCAGGGAGCAAAACTGGGGCACATCAGGCAACCTTGCCCAAATCCAAGGGGAAAGGGCTACAGTCACAGCACTTTGCAGCAGTCACAGTGAACACATTACCCACTGCATCACCAAACGCAGAGCGATCAACTCCAAACTCTAACCAAAACTCACTCACACAACAACCGGCAATGAGTTCAAAACCCCCGCCTCTCCAATACGGTGTTTGTGGCTTTCTCCCAGTTGGGGGATTGGTTCGGCCAATGATTATTTCCCTTAAGACACTACTTCGCTTTCATTACAGTGCGGAGGGAGATTTAATCCGGTCTGGATTATAGTTTGTAATGGATTTTTTTTATATACACTATAGGAAGGCCTTCTTTTGGTGAGTAATATTGTACACCGACTCCACCTACAGGTCATGGCAATACTGGCAACGTGAGAGAGAGGAGAGAGAGAGGATGGAGCCTCGATGTGACTTAGAGTTTAAAGTCTCTTACTCACTCAGCAAGGACCTAAATTGGACCATTTTATTCTGACTGTCATGTAAAGTAAGAGAGGGCACAAGCCTCGAGTGTGTCCTGTGATTCACATCTGGGTAGAAACACCAGGTCCATAAAAATAACTGAAGCAACCACTGCAGAATGGTGCCTGGAGTTTCTATAGAGATGTATATATAGATATGCAGAGATATATCTATGTCTATCAGGTATGAATTGTTTAGGCTTGTCGTGCATTGTAAAGAAGCCTAAACAATCCCTTCCTCACCTAAAACATGAGGTAAGAGTCAGGATCTTATTGAATAACATGTTGCACTGCACATGGTTTCTCAGGGACAGACAGACAGGGAGAGAGGGGGAAAGAGAGAGAGAAAAAGAGCTTTTCTTTCGGTGCTAAAACGGTGGGTTGGTCTTAAGTTAAAAAAAACACACACTTAAGAAGCGGTGTTACCAATGTACTTCGCGGTGTAAATAGCCAAGGAATGGGAGCGGGTAATGGAGAGCAATGGACCAGTAATATTGTGCGTTAATATTCTTAATGATAAGACTTTCGGCCTTGGCTCACACAGGGGGAGGAGGTAACCCATATGTAGTTTGTTGAAGCACCGCTGGAGAGTTGATTTTTTTTTTGTTGTGTTAAAATCAATCTCTCTCCTCCCCCCCTAAACCCCCCTAAATTCTTTGCAATTGGGATTTTACCTGAGATGATTTATTCCAAACCATTCCACCCCATCCCCACAGGCTGAATTTTAGCAAATAAACCTCTCACACACAACACAACACACAATACGCTCGACAAGAACCGTCTTTTAAAACAAGAGAGGAATAGATCAAGTGATTGTAACTTATTTATAAGCGGGTTAAGTTTACACGGCATTCGGGAGAGGGATTTTTTTTGGGGGGGGGGAGGGAGAGAGGGAGGGAAAGGGATGCTCACCTTGGAGGAAAACTGGTGTTGAGAAGGAATAAACACAGAAACGCTGGAGCCCAAACACTGAAAACAACAGTCCATCCCTCCATGGCAGGTTCTCAGTAATAAAAATAAAGCCCCCAATCTGATAAAGAAAATGACACACAATTAATACATTCTCTCTCTCACACACACACACACACAGAGAGAGAGAGACCTGAACTGAAGGGACAATTGGAACAATTATCCTTTTTACCTGCGGCGACGTGGGTTTGAGTGTCAAAGTGAGAGAGAAACAAACACACACTGTTGTCTCATTGCAGGAGAAGCGATTGGGAACAAATATAGCGTCAACACCGAACCCACCACAAGGCTTAAACGGGGAGGGAGGGAAGGAGGGAGGGAGGGAAGAGGAGAGGGAGAGGGAGGGAGAGCTACAGGCGGGGGGAATGGCGCAAACGCTGAGTGAGGCTGACTGGATGGGGAGGATGGATGGCTTAAGAAAATACATACATTAATATAAACAAATGCATAAATACACACATAAACAAACAAACAAACAAACAGATAAATAAATGGCCTGGTCATGACTTTAATGCACTCACTCTGTGGGGTCGAATATAAACGGAGAGTTAACCCTTACTTGGTCTGTGTGTGTGTGTGTGTGTGTGACACTCAGCTTCATATACAAACCATTTGCAAACAGCAACCACACACTCACACACTCAAAACCCACACACTCACACACAACACACACTCACACACACTCCACAACCACGACTGTCTGACTCATTAAAAGCTAAATCCATGCAATGATCCATACACACACACACAACACACACACAACACACAACATACACACACACACAACACACACACAACACACAACATACACACACACACAACACACACAACATACACACACAGCATACACACACACACACACACACAGCATACACACACACACAACATACACACACTATATATATACACACACACACAACATACACACAGTCACAGAACATTCACACACACTCACACACAACACACACAGCATCCCACTGAGGGAGGGGGTGAGTGTAAGTCAGTTAATGTCATTGTTAAAACACACACACACACAACAAACGGTAATGTCCTATTATTTCCCCACACCTAACAGCTAACATCTACACACATCGCTTCCAAATCACCAATACCCATCTCTCTCTCTATATATATATATATATATATGGACCTGTACACATACTATTGATCGACATGTTTAAGAAGCTGGATATGTAACCAGCCAACAAACACACACACCAATCGCACTCTGGCACCAAACATACTTGAAAGACTTTAAGCAGTTTTAATGCATTGAAGCCACGGATGTAAAATGCAAACCTATACGTTACCGGCTGTAATGTGCGAGTTTCGCTAAACGCGAAGCAGTATCGGCTCTTGTCCTGTTCTGTTCTCCCAAATCAAGGTTCTCCACACTGTCGTGTCTTTGCAGAGACAGAGAGAGAGAGAGAGAGAGAGAGATGGAACGGAATGCACTGGATATCTAACACAGTGTCTAAATCACTCCAACAGCCTCCTCCCAAACAGTGCTCCTGTGAAAGACACACAGAGACAGAGAGACACACAGACACACAGAGACACAGAGACACAGAGACACAGAGACACAGAGACACACACACAGAGAGACAGAGACACACACAGAGACACAGAGACACACACACAGAGAGACAGAGACACACACAGAGACACAGAGAGACAGAGACACAGAGACACAGAGAGACAGAGAGACAGAGACACAGAGACAGAGAGATCTGTTCTCACCGGCAGGAGCTGAATGGGTTAAAACAGCTACACAGAGGTACTGTATATTGCTTTTCTGCCACATAACACCCATCGGCGGCTCGTGTGTGTATCTAAATCCCCATCACATTCAAATGCAACATCTTAACTAACGCGTTTGCGAGAAAAATAATTTACAAATATACACACACACAAACATACACCCAACAGCCACAGACAGACACACAGACACAGGATAGCTCTCTCTCTCTCTCTAAAGTCTCATTCATTCCCAAACATCATCAGGGTTTTTTGGGGTGGGGTGGGGGGGGGGGGGGGGGGGTGGGGGGGATTAATGTGAAGCCTGGGAGCTGGCGTCTCTCACCTGACACACACTGGGGAGTGCGCAAACTTCTCTGCCGAGTTGTTCAGCTGATGACTTGACTTGAAAGGCAAAAAAAAAATCACCAGATCCCTGTGTTTGGCTGCTTTAGCTTCTCAGGCAGGGAGGGGGGGGTGTGGGTGTGTGTGTGGGTGTGTGTGGGGGGGGGGGGGGAGTGTAGGGGGTGTGGGGGTGTGGGAGGGAAGGAAACAGCGTGTTTGAGGACACAGGAGGAGGAGAGAGGAGAACTGGTACTCTGTTGTCTCTCTCGGCTTGTGATCAGCATCAGCATCAGCACCACCACCACCACCACCCCCCACCCCCTGCGGGAACCCTCACTGTGTGGCTACCGTGTGTGTGAGGGTGTGTGTGTGAGTGCGGGTGAGGGTGAGGGTGTGTGTGAGGGTGTGTGTCCAGTGGAAGCAGAGGGCTGTATCATCTGCACAGGATGGATCTCCAAAACCGTGGGATTTGACTGCAGGTTCCAGTTAAGCTTTTACTCTCCCCACAGCCAATGCTAATGTGCCTGTCTGTAAACCGGATGTGAAATAAGCCGTGACTTCATGTTAGGCAGATTTTTTTTCCCTTCTCTCGCTCTCTTTTTATTTTGGGGAGGGAGAGAGAGGGAGGGAGAGAGAGAGAGAGAGAGAGGGAGGGAGGGAGGGAGGGGGAGAGAGAGGATATCCTTAGTGAACGTAAACAGATGTAGAAACCCAATCCATCATCCAATCAATGTTGCTTTTTTTTGGGGGGGGGGGGTTCTTTTTAAAAAAGACTTAACGTTTTTTTTTAATATATATACATATATAGAGAGAGATAAAAAAAACAGGTTAAATCGCTTTCTGGATGGTGGTTTGCAGCAGGAAACCTGGGCTTCCTTTACACCAGTCGATGGCTAATGTTTCTTCCAGTGGAGACAATTCTACTGTGTATTTGTTTGTTTGTTTGTATGTGTATATATATAGAGAGAGAGAGAGATGGAGAGAGGGAGGGGGGGAGAGATTGTAGCAGGTAATGCTTGCAACACTGCATGGGGAATGGTGAGCAGGTCTGAGAGAGATGGTCCTGTGCGTTTCCTTCTCTCCCAACTGACTCTGGTTATGGGTTTGAATCACGTTGGTTTGCACTTGATCTGAAATGGCACGTCACCTCCCCACCAACACAACAACAACACCATCACTAGTGCTAATGGTCCATTGCGATGTTTTTTTCCACACACACACAGACACACAGACACACACAGACACACAGACACGATTCTCCACCTTTATGTTTTGAAATTTAAAAAAAAAGAAAACGCACAAACATGGACAACAGACACCGTGTCAGGCTCTGTGCTCAGAGGTTGGACCTCGTCCAGATGATGATTCTGGTGGAGATTGGGATAGAACCTGTCTGTGCAAACCCAGGCAGAGAGGGGCACAGGGCTGGCAGTGGCTGTGGGGGTGAGCTCAGCACTCCTGGGTTGGCATGCGCACTGCTCCAACAAGGAGACCTGGCACTTGGTGTCTGTGGTCCTAACGCCAGTCATATTATTTTGCCATCATCACCAGCTCCACCATCTCCCTCTCTCTCTCTCTCTCTCTGTCTGTCTCTACCTGTCCCGTTTTTGCACAAAAAAAGTACTTACTTAAATCCACGGTTGCAATTGGCCACAGACATCCCAACACCTGCCCTCTGGAATAACCAGGAACGCGGTTCACTTGGCGATTGGCAACTCAACTCTTGCGCCCCATCCCGTCTGTAGTGTGTGCTCTCCCCCAACCCCGAGGGGTGGCTGTGTGGCCGCTGGTTTGCCTTGTATGTGTGTGTGTATATGTGTGTCTGTGTATGTGAGTGTGTATATTTGTGTGTGTGTGTGTGTGTGTATGTGTGTATATGTGTGTGTGTGTATATGTGTGTGTGTGTATGTGTGTATATGTGTGTGTGTATATGTGTGTGTGTGTGTGTATATGTGTGTGTGTGTATCTGTGTGTATATGTGTGTATGTGTGAGTGTTTATTTTATTTTTTCGCTGTATTTAACAGTCGTTGCATTTTGATACAGCCTCAACGCTACATCAGAGGATTGTCTGTGGAGTGGAGTGACTGTGCGTAGTGTATTGGGAGCCTATTATTCTATTCAATTTTTTTCTAAAAATATATATGTATATATATATATATTGATTCTAACTCTAGTTTTCTGCCATTGGAATCCAATCCGCTGGGAAACGATTCACAAAACGGTTAGTTCACTTCGAAAGTAGTTTGTGAAATGTTAGGAGTTCTGTATTTGCGGCAACTTCTGAAAAAAAGGGGCAAATCGATTTACTAAAGCTGTATTTTTTGAATACTATGATCCACTGTGTCTGTGATTGTATTCACTGTGTGAACAGCAGAATATGAGATTAATGTAAAATGTCTGAATAACGCACTCTACTTCTTATCTCCTCTCTAAAACCCACTGTAATAGGTGATAACCCTTCACACACACACACACTAATGCTTAACAGTTGCCCAACATGTGTGACTATTTATTCTCTGTCGAAACGAATTCACAAGAAGCAAATGAGAAAACAATGACAGAAAGAGTCCACCTTAAAAGTTATTTAAATAACACCTTTGCACATGGAAGTGCACAGACGGTGGGGAATCCAACTTCGTGTAGCAGTCACTCACCTTCTCTGAAGCCTCACTTCAGCTGATGGTTCCTTCCCGTTGGGTTTTTGGTTTGTTCTTAAATTGCTGAAACGGACGGGAATTCGAGCAGTTGATTCAATGCGAATTTAGTCTTGAAATATTGTTGAGTTGAGGCTCTGTTATCCGCACACACACAGACACACACTGACACAGACACACACTGACACACACACACAGACACACACTGACACACACACACAGACACACACTGACACACACACACAGACACACACATTGACACACACAGACACACACACAGACACACACACTGACACACACTGACACACAGACACACACACTGACACACACACACACACATTGACACACACAGACACACACACTGACACACACACACTGACACACTGACACACACACACTGACACACTGACACACACACACACACTGACACACACTGACACACACACAGGAATATAGAGAAGATAAACTGGCAATGGGAACACTATTCTGCACTCCTCACCTCAGCTCAAAGACTCACAGAGGGATTTAGGATTCACTCGAATACCTTTGCTCACATCTGATCACTTTCACACACAGGATTAAAACACACAGGAAGATCCAAGTGAAACCCAGGCGATGATTTTCAGTCATTTTTTCGGGGATGGGGGGGGGGGGACTAACCTAAATCACCAATAAATTGACATTTCTCTGTGAATTATACACTGTTTCCCCCCCACTCCCCCCGGACTTGGACTTGTTGAACCAAAAATGAGACCCAGTTTGTGGGCAGTAATGAGAAACATCAGTCACTCTTGGGTTAAATGCACCGACCTTGGGGTCTCAGTGCCTGACCAATAACATGTTTGAGAGCAGTCCTGCTTTGTTTTTTTTCTGCAGGTTAGGGCTTGATTTAGAAAATCTATAATACTGTAATAATCCTTGCAATCGATAAAGCACCTTATCACGTCCTCGAGACATCTCAAAATGCTTCACTGGCTGCGCTGTCCAGTGAACTACTGACTGTGTGTTTTGTGGGTGAAGGGCGGCAGGCAATTAATTGGAATTATTGAGAAAGAATTACGCCACCTTTTCAAACCAAATCCACGGCTGTTTGTGGGGACGCTGCCGTGCACACAATTGGCTGCCGCGTTTCGCCCGCAAAAGATGCAGTCAATCCATTTCACAGTATATTCTGTGAAGCGCTTTGAGACGGCTCAACGACGCGATCAGGCGCTGTATCGAATGCCAGGATTATTGTTATAAACCCTGCATTGGAGAGCACTAGGACAGTGCGAAGAAGGCAGCTTTGATGTAGGAGAGAAGCTGTTCTGGAGAGTGTTTCTTGTGACTGATCCTGTGTCTGTGTGACCTCCTCTATGATGACAGGCAGCAATGCAAAGAGTGTGACGCAATGTCTACCCATGTACCGTTCCACCACCAGCAACAAGAGTCCAATCTGGAGCTTAGTCTAAAACAAGCTCGAGTTTGTCAATTGCACTTATTGGAAATGTTCCTCCAAGTAGGCTTTTGAAGCCAAATATATTTGACTTGAGCTAATTAAAAGAGGGGAGAATGATGGTGTGTGCGTGTGTGTGTGTGTTTTGAAGGATTCCTCTGAGTATGTTAAAAATTATGGATATTACTAAAACAAAAGTAATATATTCCAGAATCACAACTCTGGGGGGAAATTTTTTATTTTATTTTTGCAGGAGATTTAGATAAACATTGATCCATTCAGGCTCCCAGTTTAGAGAAAAAAATGCAGGCTTTTCAGTACAGAATTAAACCCTTAAGCCCATCTGTTGTGTTATTTCAGAGCCTGTCCGAATGTGGAATGGAAAGCTTGTGTCTATATCCATTCTGCCAGCTTAAAAATGACCAAAATGATGCTTTTGTCACAGAAACGCTCATCGCTGGGTTCTCTGCAATGCTACCCTTCCCATGACACACGTGCAATAGAAATATTACAGTCAAACCAGATGAAATTAACAAGACTATATAAGAATCCTTGCATTGGATAAAGCGCCTGATCACGTCATTGAGACGTCTCAAAGCGCTTCACAGCATATATTGTAAAGTGAATTGACTGTGTATTTTGTGGGCGAAACGCGGCAGCCAATTGCGCACAGCAGCGTCCCCACAAACAGTCGTGGATTGAGTGACCAATTTTTTTGGGAGGGATTATTGGAGGCAGATTTTGTGGCACGGTACTTTTCCGTACCTCCCCTGCTGTAATTGAATTTATGTTTGATTAGTTATTGAGTCTCTGAAAGCAAACTGTGGGTAATTTGAAAGGGAAACATTTTATCCATTTCCTAAGAAAAGTGGTGCTATAAAAGGAATGACAATCCTCAATGTATCACCGCATCACATCATTGAACCGTTTCAAAGTGCTTGACAGGATTTACTGTGAAGGGTAATTCACTGACAGAATATTTGTGGGCAAACTCAGCAGCCAATTTATTGAGAAATCCTCACTTTTCTGTCACGTATCACTTTTTAATTTAAATTTTAATTTCAGCGAATTTAATTTGTTTTCAAATTAAAATCGCTGAAATGTAATGTTACAATAATTCATTCCATAGGTAATCACTAAACGTATAATAAGAAATGTGTGATTTTACATGAAATTGATCAGATTTGGACTTATTATATCCCAAACTTTAAAGTGTAAAACATGACGTTTATTGATCAATATTTATATATAGATTACAATAATACAATAACAATCCCTGCATTCAGTATAATAGCACCTTATCACTTCATTGAGAAGTGTTAAAGCGCTTCACAGGATATATTGTGAAGTGATTTGACTGTGCATTTTGTTAATACAGGAGCCTTTCTGTAAGCAGTGAGTTTATTGTTCAACCATAATTGTTCACCAGATAAAAGCTCTATCTTTGCTGGCTAGATTTCCCCATGACATTCATGACTGTCTAGTCCAAATGGTGGGCAGTAAAGCTGTAGGTAAGCCATCCCTAGGTTTTTCAATCCTGTGTAACTGTACACCAGTAGTTCATGGTAACCACATTTCAATATCACTCAACCCGATGGGCAATGTCCTAGACACACTTTGAAGCCTTAGCTTAGACAGCATGACAAAAGTCATACAGAATTCCCTGCCTTACCATTCCCTGGGACATCATATAAATATTCTGTGGTACTGTGGCTCTGTAAGATAATTTTTGAAAACATGGATTAATTGTTCCCAAACATCGGACAGCTAGAAATAAATTACGGACGTAATGTACATTACAGTGTTGGCCTTGGACTATACACATCTCGAAATTACACGTGAACACGTTTTATTCTATTGGTAATACACAGCAACTTTAATTGTAATTTCAGATCCGCAATTTTATCTAATTGTATGCATTGTGATCCGTTTCAAACTACGTGCATCAGGATTAGTGTTGGAGTTACGATACAGATCTGGTGTGTGACAGGACTGCAGAAAGTACAACATTATACAGAGGATCAATAGCCTTCAGCTATGATTAGATAACTCCAGCACCAGCCATAGCAGTACTTTAGTGTTATTTTCTTTGAATAATGAGTCTCGTAAGATAATAATTTCCCAAAGAAACCAACCAAAATCTAGCTCCAGAATCTGAACTGTTTCCATCCCTGCAATTAGCTATTAGCACTACTTAAAAGCCTATCAGCTAAACAGCGTGCGTTCATCTCACAGGATATTACTAGCAATAATTTAACCTAGTGAGAGATATGGAAAAATAAAGTTTCCAATGAGAGTGTGAGAGAGAGAGAGAAAGCGCTGTGAGTGCATAGACTGAGATGTTGGAAGGGGCTACAGTTTGGTGAAATTTGGAAGACAATTGTGACGACGGACAGAGCCGGGGAGATGGAAGAACAATCTCTAGCTCATTCCATGAAGGGTAATTATATAAATGCAAGTTATTGTTGCTGCTGTTGATTTCACAGCCACAGATTGCTTAACCTAGAGTAGCGAGAACCTCACTGAGCCCACCTGGCTCACCTCCAATGAAGTGTTCCCAGACAATCAACAACAGCAACAACAACTTGCAGTTATACAGCGCCCTCAAGCAGGGTAGCGTCCCAGAGCGTTGACGGTGGCGGAGCATGACTCCCAGCCGGGGGGAGCTGAC